CCTTCTTCTTGTTCAAGAAAAAAAGAATTTCGACAAAAAATTTTTTTTGGAATTTTTTTCAGCCAATTTCGAGTTGCATGAGGTTCTTGAGACCTTTTTTTCAGGTACAAAAAAATAATATGGATTTTTTTGGTATCCTTCTAAGCTTTTTAAAAAAAATATTTTTTTCAATCTGAAAAAAAAGAAAAAAATAAATAAAAACATTGAAAAAATTCAAAAAAAAAGCCCATTTTTCGATCAAAATTTTCATTTTTACTCATTTTTCTCCCCTGATCAATCAAAAAAGGTGTCTCTGCCCTTTGGAATGTGTTAATTGCAGAAATTCGTTCTTCTTCTTGTTCAAGAAGACGACGTTGCGCAATGCTTTTAAGCCATTTGACGGGTGAAAACGGGGTACCGATTTGAGTGAAAATGCGTGTGTGTGTAGGGGCACTTTGTGGCGAGGATTTTGTGATGTTGAAAGAGAAAATCGGCCGAGAAATGTGAAAGGTGAATAAGGGAAACGAATCGTCTGTGATGTTGATTATTGCCGTTTGATGCGTTTCTTTCAAAAAAAATTTTTTTCTTGAAAATTCAAAAAAATTTGCTTGGTTCAGGAGCCCAAAAAGAAATCCACTCACTAAAAAAATTATTTTTCTGGACGAAAAAAAACGATTCCAATTTAACAATCGTTCTGAAAAAGTCCACATTTACTCAAATATTAAAAAAATCGATTGGAAAAATCTAAATTCGAGAAATTTTTTTCAAAACTCAAAAGAAGAACAAGTTCAGAAAAAAGAGAACATTAAACTTAATGAAAAAAATCATTTCAGCCTCGAAAAAAAATCCATCTTCCCTCAAGAATGAATAAGAAGACGCCTGAAAAAAAGTCAGACGATCCAAATAAACTCAAAATATGCTTCAAGTTTACAAAAAACCTAAAAAACTGAAAAATTACTTTAAAACCTTCCAAAAAGGCTCTGAAAACACGTAAAAATGAATCAAGATCGATCTAAAATATTGAAAAATCGAAAAATCATCGAATTCCACCCAACAATGTAAATAGTTCAAAGTCATCAAAGTCGACCCAAGAAGTTGAAAAATGAGCAAAATTGATATTTTAGGTTGAAAATTCGTCAAAAACGGACCGAAAAATTGGAAAAAAATCATAAAAAAACTGACCAAAAAAAGTTGAATAACTCAATGATTAATATCGACCGAAAAAATAGGAAAATCGTCAAAATTACAAAGCCTTTTAAAAGAAAAACCTTAAAAAAACTAGCAAAAATTTGGAAAACCTCCAAAATCTTGAAAAATTACTTAAAACACGACCTCACCCACAAAAAAACGAGACATATGCGTGTATAAGTGCGAGGAAATTGTGGTAAAATGAGGATTTCCGTTTAAAATTGACCCAAAAAGGAAAAAAATGAGCAAAACTGATTTTTTAGGTTGAAAAGTTATCAAGACAGACCTGAAAAAGTTGGAAAATACATCAAAATTGACCTCGAAAAGTTGGAAAATTCATTAAAAAAACCTAAAAAAAAGTCGGAAAATTCGTCTAAACTGACCTAAAAAGTACGAAAAATCATCAAAAACCAAAGTAAAAAGTTTCGTAAACTCTAAAATCAAGAAAAAAATTGAAATATAAATCATGTAAACCCAAAAAAAAAACCCTTCAAAATCATCAAAAAAAACCAAAAACTCGACACCCACAAACAAACGAGACAGATGTGTGTGGGCGCAGGCAAATTGTAGTAAAAATTAGGGTTTCCGCTGGCCGGCCTGCTAATTTTTCCGCTGCCGGACGATTGACTCGATTGATTCAATTCGCTTCCAACAATCAAATTTTCGAGGGTTGTTTCAAAATTAGGAGCTCTAAAAATAAACTGCAATAAAAAGTCCAAAGTTCGGCAAAAAATGAATTGTTTTTTGATCTGAGAAGCGGTTTTTTTTTCTAATTTTGATGTGAAGGTCGCATTTGGAATGGCTCAAGCAAGATAATTTTCAAGTTTCAAGTTGCAACCGACCCATAACGGCTTGCGCACGACCGCATGTTTTCGAAGCTTTTCTTCAGTTTTTGACCTGCCCCCTCGCCCCAAAAAAAATCGCGAATCCGAATTTTTAAAAAAAGTTTTAGTCTTTTCTGATACCAAATTAAAAGAGAAGGCAAAAAAAGGGAAAAAAATCGGCAAAAATTATTTCTCTTTTTTCTCAGCCAAATTGACCTATTCTACATGATTTAAAGCAATATAAAGGCTTCAAAATTTTCAATTTTCCAGAAAATCTCAGAAGACAAACATTTTATATGCAAAAGAGCAAGAAAAATGGAAAAACCCGGCAAAAATGATCATATCTATGTCAAAATTAACAGCTTTTCCTCTCAATTCGACCTATTCTACATGATTTAAAGCAATATAAGAGCTTCAAAATCTCTAATTTTCCAGAAAATCTCAGAAGACAAGTACTTTTTAAGAAAAAGAGCAAGAAAAAGGGAAAAAATCGTCCGAAATCGGTAGAAATTCAATCTCAAAATTAACAGCTTTTCCCCTCAAATTAACCCTTTCTACTCGATTTCAAGCCATAAGACTGCCCTAAATTGTTCATTTTTCCAGAAAATCTGAAGATACAAATATCTGAAGAACAAAAAGAGCAAGAAATATGAAAAAAATCGTCCAAAGTCGGAAAAAAATCAATCTCAAAATTAACAGCTTTTCCCCTCAAATTAACCCTGTCTACTCGATTTCAAGCCATAAGACTGCCCTAAATTGTTCATTTTTCCAGAAAATCTGAAGATACAAATATCTGAAGAACAAAAAGAGCAAGAAATATGAAAAAAATCGTCCAAAGTCGGAAAAAAATCAATCTCAAAATTAACAGCTTTTCCCCTTAAGTTAACCCTTTATACTTGTTTTTAAGAGATAAGACTACCCTAAATTTTCCAATCTTCCAGAAAATCTAAGGATACAAATATCCCGAGAACCAAAAGAGCAAGAAAAGTAGGACGGAACTCTCGGGTTTTGCGAAAATATTGAGAAAAGAGGGGTGTGTGTGGATTAGTGGCCGATTCCACGCTATATTGTTCTCCTTGCCCGGGGGCTTTGTCTCCTCAGTTGTAAAGGACCTTCTTCTGGCCCCTATTTATGTGCACTTATGCATGAGTTGTTCGGTAAAGATACTTTTACTTGTCCAAATTTATGGAAAAGTTAGGATAATGACTGATTTTCGGCACGAAACCGGACAAAAATTTTAAAATTTCCACTTCATATTGCTTCCTATGATGTCACTGAAACATTTGAAAGAAGAAAATCGCAAAATTAACAGATTTTTCTTTCTATTCATAGCTTTAATGATCCTCAAAGTCATCTCGGACCTTGGCAATGCGAATCGGATGTGTCGGATCATTTCTAGGGACCACTTTAGTAGCTCCAGCACCCTTAAGTGATCTCTAGAAATGCTCAAAAACGTCCGGCTTGAGTTACCGATGCCCGAGAAAAAATTTCGAAAAAAAATATTTTTTTATCAGTAGAGCGAACTTGCTAGGTATTTTTGAGCCAAAATTTGGAAATATGCTCGAGAATTGGAAAAATTCTCAATTTTGTTGGAATCATTACTTCAACACGGATTAATAGATCCAATACGTATTTTTGTGAAAACAATAAAAATTCTCAAACGAGCAAATTTGCCTCAATTTTTGAGCTTTTTTTCGAAAACAAACCTTTTTCCAGTCTAAAACTTCCTCAAGACCATTATATTTACCCTCATATCGGACGTTTTTCTGTATCTTGTAGTTTTTGGTTCCCCATTTTAAGTGTCGGTCACGATTGACGCAAAATAACTAGAGTAAACATGGAATGAAGGAACTTTTGGGTCCATTTTCGTGAAAATTTTCATCTTTGCCTTCAAAAATTGAACCTTTCTTAGTGGAGATTCGTAAAAAATGGTCCAAAAACCGTCTGAATGATTTTTTTTAGGGCTCCAGTTCCAATATAACCCTGGTACCTGACCAAAGTATCTGATAAAGAGAGATAAGATTGAGAAAAGGTGTGTCACGAAAAAGGGAGAAAAACAAAAACGGGCAGAAAGATATCACAAAGACGCCCTGAGGGTCAATAAAAGCCGGCAACACACACACGGCATTCAAGGACGAAACTTTTGCCCATAAACGAAGAAAAAAAAGAGAATTGTGTCAATAATCATTGATAGAATTTCAAAAACCTCTCGAAAGAAAAAATCGATATTTTCGCTTCTTTTCCGTTCCTCTGTCCTTCTAATAAATTTTCGACGATCTCATAACTTTCAGAAATTCCAAAAGACTAACATGAGCAATACTGAGCTCTGAAGACCATTTAAAAAACGATAAATGCTTTGAAAGGTCTATTATGAGCAATAATAAGCAACAAATGCATCTGGAATAACACAAGTCCCCTAGAAAGCTTCAAGAGTCTCAATACGACAGGACGCTCCGAAAAAAGCTAACGTGAGCAATAATAAGCAATAAAAGCCTCTGAAACGACACAAATGTCCTTTAGAAAGCTTGAAAAGTCTCGATAAACCAGTGTGCTCCGAAAAAAGCTAATATGAGCAATAACGAGCTGAGAAAGCCTCTTTGAAATTTAGAAACGCTTTGGAATGAATAACATGAGCAATGAAGAGCAATATAGGCAAATAATCCTCTGAAACGACAAAAAATAGTCATTATAAAACTTCGAAAATCTCTTTTGAAAGGGTGTGCTTCGAGAAAAGGTATAAGATGAGCAATAATGAGCCATAAATGCCTTCAAAACGACAAAAATGTCTATTAGAAAGCTGCAAAGGTCTCAATAGCACAGAACGCTCTGAAAAAAAGCTAAAATGAGCAATGATGCGCAAGAAGATAGTGATAAAGCAACTGGTCGTTTTGAAAAAAAAAAAAACGAACCCACACAAAAAAACTTTTTCTAAGCTTTACATGAATGAAAGAATCTCAACTAGTTGAAAAGCTAAAATGAGTGAAAATCTTTAACATGAGCAATAAGCACTCACCGGCTCATTTTTTCCCGTCGTTCCTGCTGAAAGTGCTGCTGGAAGAACTGCTTGGCGGACTTTCTCATCGGCCGGCTCTGACGTCGGAAAACGCCTTTCGGCGACGATTGCGACGAGGTGATCATCGCCGGCGGCGTCTCCAGACTCGCCGACGTGACCGGAATCACGATCCGGTAGAGGTTCGGATGACTCGAGTTCCTCTGCGACAACATCACTTTCCCGTTCATCGGCTGGCGTTCGTCAAACTTATCATTCGCAATGAAAACAAGTTGGGAAGAAGGTGATGTCAGGGCGTGTAGTTCTTCTGTCTGACTAATCGGGGCCCCTTCTAGGTGTACTAGAAGGTGTTTCGAGTGGTCTTTGTAGGGGGAGGGGGGAGACGCTGAAGTTTCAGAATCTGGCAGCAGAACTTCTTGGTCAAAGTCTTCTGGGGTCCAGAAAAAATCTTCAAAGAAGCTCAAGTCGGACTTTTTATCGTGCAGTCAGACTCGGAAAAGAAAAAGGGCCTTCAGAAGCTTCAGAAAACGGTTTCCGTCAAATTTGAGGATTCTGAAGCACTCTCAGAGAGGTCTGAGTTTCAGAAACGCCAAAAAAGGGTCGTAGGAAGCTTCAGATAGTGCTAGACAGGTCTTCAGAATTAACAGTGTCAGAAAATATAGGGACCGATCTTCAGTAAATAGCTCTGCCGTCAGAATCAGAAGCAGTCAACTTCAGAATAGTCTGAATATATCGAGTAGTACCGTTCTGAACTTCTTCAGTACCTTCAGGCAGTACTTTCAAAGTGCTGAGCTCTCAGATCTACTGAAATCGTCTTTCAGCAGGACCAGAATATTCTTTCAAAGCCTTCAGAAGCTCAAGAACTACCAGAAGATCTTCCAAAGGCTTCAGAAGTCAATCAGAACTTCAAGAATCACAAAATCGAGCCAAAATCAATTTTCCCAGCGATCAGGATTCAAAAGATTACTACAGACCAACAGTCGAATGATGATGAATCGTTTGGAAAACGGCCGATTATTGAGAAAACTGCGGTGGCGGCAGCGGTGGGCGTGGCTTTAGTGGCAGAAAAAAAAAATGGCGGCCGCGGGGCAAAGGGGGCGTGGCCATGTTTGGAAAGTGCGGACAGAATCGAGAATGGTGATATTTTGATTGTGGGTGTTGATTTTTGTTAATTTTTTCATTTTTAAAATTTTTTTTTAGTTTTCGATTTTTTTTTCAAGGATAATACTGCTCTGGAAAAAATTGAAAATTTCGATTTCTTTGCAATTTTTTCACGATTATCAAGTATCCAAACTTTTTCCTACTACTTTTTCTTTTCATTTCAAAACTCCAATAAAACACCCATTCATCCGGCTGAAAAAAAAAATCAAGTTTCTCAAGGATTATCCATGGCGCACACTTCTCAGTGGTCAGAAAACGGTTGAAGTGGCTGTTTTTTCAGTTTCAAAATGATCGAAGGAACAAAATCTTCTTCCTTTCCAAGGTTTCGACGAAAAATTCAATCTCACGGAATCAAAAAAAAGCAATGGAAAAAACAGCCGCGAAAATTTTGGAAGTGTTGCTCCACGGCTAATTTCCGGAAATACCTTGTCACGATGTCAAAAAAAGTCCATTTTTCTTTATTTTTATTTTCAAGCTCTCCACCTTATTGTTAAATTAGCGACAGGGCGCACTTAATCAAAACTCCAACGGCTATTTTTTCACAGTTTTCTCAAATCTCGCGAATCGAGATTCCTCCAGTTTAAAATCCAACAATACTCAGGAAACTCATAAAAACGAACCCGTCCAATCAAAAGCCCTCCTGATAAGGCCTCATCACCGCAAAGTCAAAGAAAAGCCGCTCATTAAATTAGGCAATCATTCTCGAACTTTTGCCTGGTTTCGGATTACAACACGACTACACAGACCAAACATGTTCTCGTTTTGTTTTCCCACTGAAATTGTACCAAAAAGAAGCTGAAAACTGTTGTGAAAATAGTTGTTTTCTCGATTTTCCTTTGTAAAAATGGACATCAATCATCCGAGTGTCCCGCACTCTTGTTTTTAGGTCAAGTTTTGTGTGAGGAAAATGAAAATTGGGATGTTATGATGTAGTTTTTTCACCTCTGAAGAGTTGCAGAAGTTAGAAATTTGAAAAATTTTCAAAAAAAGGGGTGTGAAAAAATAGCCGTCACGGCTCAGAGCAAGCGTGCCCGGTTGATAAAAGTGGCGAAATTCGAATTTTTGGGTTTTTTCGCTTTCTGGTTCAATTATTTGTAGAAATTTCGCTGGGAACTATGGTTTTTCTTGTTAGATTTGACCAAAATCAATCAAAAAGACAGGAAAAACCGAAAAATCGATTTTTTTTTTTTCAACTTTCCAAGAAACTAATCACTCCCTCAAGACTCCCAAAGACCAAAATTACCTTCTCCTGTCAAAATTCTCTAAAAACCAACTAGTTTTCCCAAGATTCCGGTTTCCAAAACCAGACGTCTCTTGAAAAATCGGAACGAAAAAGGGAAAAAGGGCCAAAAAAAGACGCCGTTTTTCCACTGTTCCACACGTATTTCACGGCTTTTCGGACTTTCGGATCTGTTTGGAAACGGATCAAAATTCTCTTTGCGTGGAGACGTGTTATACAGTTCAAATATGGAGGTATTTGTGCATCGGACCGTTGGATTTTCGGTCCGTTTTCGACCGCTACTTTCGCTTTTTGAACCAGAATTGGACAGGGTTCGTTTGAGAGAAATGAAAAATTGAGCCAACTCGAAAAAAGGTCAAAACTTTCTTCTTGCTGGTTAAATGAAAAAACAAATATATAAGTTTTCCAGCATTTTCGAATTATTTCAGCAGATTTTTCAGTTCTTGAGAGAAAAAAGAAGATTTCATGCTCTATTTTTTTGAACTCGAAGTTAAAAAAAAAATTAAAAAAAGAGCTCTTCACCCGATATTCCAAGAGAAAAAAAGCTTCTGATTTTTTTCTTTACCCACTTCACAAAAAAAGTGAAAAAAATAAATTTAGAAAACTCTTGAAGAAAAAAAGAAAGTCATTAGGCTCAAAATGAATATCACCTCGACTTTTTTTTTTGCTTCTCTGCGTTTCTCCTTTCACACTCTCTCTAAATTCATTTTTCAGAGATTTTCTGCTTCATTAAACTGAATAAAATTGACTCAGAAATAAGAAAAAAAAACGCTATTCTAAAAATGTGAACCATCAATAAAATATTTATGATATTGCACCGTCGAAAAAAAGAAAAAAAAGTATTTTTTTCAACTAAAAAAATTGACCACTTTTTTTCATTTCATTGGCCCAGTTTCCATAGGTTTTGGTACAAAAAAAAAGAAAAAAATGTATTTTTTTCGAGGTTAGTGTTTCTAAAAAAATTAGTAAAAGGAAGAAAAATAGGAACATTTACAAAGCATTAAAAACCACAAGGTTAAGGAAAAAAATTGGAATGATAATCTAAAAAAACTATTTGAAACTTCCCAAAAAAATTATCTTTATGAAAAAAACCTAATTTTTCTCCTTAAAAAAACTCTCATTTCCTTGATTGATGTTGAAAGAAAAAAATGCTTCACTCTCTGAGAATTTTTCCCACTTTTTTTTAATCTCAAACAATTTTTCTATACAACTCCAAGTGTAACAACGAAATTCCTTCAAAAAAATTCCAAGTTTAGCCGTTAATTTTACTTGGAAAATGCCCCCGGTGGACACCAATAACAATCAAATTTTGAATGGAAATGGTCGAAAGAACTGGTTTTTTTTAGCCGATTGTTTTCTGCGCGAATGGACAATTGTCGAACAATTCAACATGTGTTTCCCGATTTTTCATGGGGTCTTGTTGATTGAAAAGTATTCCCTTTTTTGGAATGGTAATCGCATCATTTTTTCGTTTTTTTCTGGAGTCTCATGGAAATTTTGAAGTCCTCGAAGTTGTAAAGAACGGAAAAATAAAGTAAAATCGGCAAAAAAAAACCAAAAAAATAAGCGAAATTCAAAAAAACTATCTAAGATTTTTGAGCAATAACTCGGAAAAATTGGAAAAAAATTAATATTCTAAAAAAATTTCAATGTTCCAGCCTTTTTTTAGGATTATTCAAGACGGCTAGGTCGAATTTTTTTAGCTCAAGAAAATGTTAAAAAAATTTTTCTACTTTCAAAAATTTTTTTCTACTCTCAGAGCTGAAAATTGACCTCTCATACCTTAAAAAAATAATTTTTTGCTGAAAAAAATCTCGTCCAAACTCAAAGTTCCACAGAGCGCAAATGCTCAATCTCATAACAGCTATTTTTCTCCCCTTTTATTTCTCTAAAATCTGATTTTTCCAGCCTTCTTTGGGATAATTCAAGACGCCGAGGTCGAATTTTTAGCTCAAGAAAAAGATAAAAAATGTTTCTACCTTCAAAATTTTTTTTATACTCTTAGAGCTGAAAATTGACCTTTCCTACCATTTCTAAAATTTTTACGGCACCTTTCCAGGACTTTTGTCTTGATTTTATCAAAATTCCAGGCTAAAATCTCCATAACTAAAAAAAAAAAATGAAAAAAATTCCGCCTATAAATCCTAAAAATTAAACTTCTACAGAGCGCGAATGCTCAATTTACAACGGCTATTTTTTTCTCAAATCTTTTTTTCTTCTAAATTCTAATTTTTTTCCAGCCTTCTTTGGAATAATTCAAGACGCCGAGGACTAATTTTCAGCTGAAGAAAAAAAAAAAAAAATTTCCTACCTTCAAAATTTTTTTATACTTTCAAAGCTGAAAAATTGACCTTTCATACCTTAAAAAAAATAATTTTTTTGCTGAAAATTTCAAGAGCTTTTTTTCTTAATTTTTATCAAAATTCCAGGCGAAAATTCCCATTTCTAATAAAAAAATGAAAAAAATTCCGCCTTTAAATCCTAGAAATTAAAGTTCCACGGAGCGCAAATGCTCAATTTTACGACGGCTATTTTTTTCAAATCTTTTTATTTCTCTAAGTTCTGATTTTTTTCCAGCTTCTTTCTACCAAAAACCTCGCCAAAAAACCCTCAAAACCACTGAATCACATGCCGAAAATGAACATCTCTACGGGAGAAAACGACGGTGCCGTAAGCTCCTTTGGAATTTTTTCCTCGTTCGAAAAAGAACAACCCAAATCGCAACAAGTTTCTTTCGTCATCAGAACATGGGGCCAAAGAATCGTGAAAAATTTTTTGTTGGACCAAAAAAATATTGGAGCCCATTCTACAGCATCATATTGTTTGAGT